GAAAACTGTCTGGCTGCCTGCGTCTGATTGATCCTGCCGGGTGGTTTCTCTGGGATTTTTCGTAATGAAACAAGAGAGCCCAGGGATGATGCATCTTAAGAAAGTGACAAAAACAGTTGACTATTACTCATACGGGCTTTCCAGCGACGCGAGGAGCCGGCGCTGAGAGGCGCCAAGGCCCCTGTTCTCAGTTCTCCGCCGCAGAAACCCCAGGGCGGAGCCCGAGCTGGGCACACTCGGAAGGGGCGCCCGGGGGCGTCCGCGAGGGCCACAGCCCCCCCGGGGGGGGGCGGGCTCGCACACCTTCCAACTCAGCCCTGAGAAGGTGCAGAGGGAAGCCCAAGGGGCGGGCCCGGAAAGCACGCGGCCGCTGCGCCCTGGCCCTGCCCTCGGGACCCGCGAGAGTGCGGGTGAGCGGCCTCAGGGCAGGCGAGGAGCGAACCGCAAACCCCGGGGCGGCGAGCGCGGGAGCTGGGGAGCCGCGGCTCCCACCCGAGGATGTTCCGTCAGAAATGTGTGGGGAAGGTGTCTGAGGGAAAGGTGTCTGAGGGAGAGGCCGCTGCGGAGGCCCCCCGTCCTCCTCCCACTGGCAGGGCCTCTGGCGCCGGAGTCGGCCCGACCCTGACTACCTCGTCCTCCGCCAGAGGCCGTGCGGAGCGAAGCCCGAGGCTCTTCTGGCCCCGTGGTCGGAGCCGCGTCTGCGCCCTCGGAGTCGTGTCCTGGGACACGAATAGGGCGAGGGCGGTCAGGAAAGGCGCAGTTCCTATTTCACCCATTTACTGCGAGTCTGCCTCGGGTTAACAAGCGGCGAGTGGTAACTGGCGCCTCAGTCGTCTGTGCGTTTAAGAAAGCCTCTCCCGTCCAGACGGGTGACATCACTCCCGCCCGGGCAGGGTGCGCCCTCGGGTGGACACCACCTTTCCGGGGTCCGGCCAGCACTGGATTCACGGTGGGCCAGTCGCCGCGCTCGGGGCCAGGTTTGCCGAAAGGCGTCGGGAGCAGGGGCAGCGGAGTCGCGCCTACCCGCGGCCAGGTCTAGCGTCACCCACCGACGGCTCCTGGGCGCAGCCCTCCGGCCACGTGCTCCGGAGGCTGCAGCCAAGTTCAGCTTTCGTCGGCGCGGTGAAAGGCGCCTAAACCCGGATCCTGAATGCCCAGAGGGAATGGGATCGCCCCCCACCGGGTTAACCAGTCGGCTTCTGGAAACAACTGTCCCGCCCCTTGATGTCTGCGTTGGGGTGGGGGAGGGGAATCCAGGAAGAAGGTATCTTAAGTCTTTCGGCAAAAGCCAACTGAGAGTAGGTGGGAGAGACTGGGATCTGATAGCGACCATCTGCAACCCGCTCCCCAAGGTGACTGGCTCCAAGCCTGTTATGAAATGGGCTAACAGCAGAGCACTACCTAGAAATCCAAATTTCCCTACCACACTGATGCCTGGAATAGTCCTCTGGCCTCACTGTAAAACTAAGTTTGCTTCCATTCTCCTCCCACTTCCCCAAAAGGGAAAACTCAGCGTTGGCTCCAGATCTTAACCTAGTTTTGCTGACCCCAAATTAAAACATCTCTCTTTCCAGTGTCCAGTGACAAAGGTGATTGTAGAAAGTCTTCCTGGAAATCACGTTCTTTAGAATGAGGCTATTAACTATACAAGTTGCTTTCCTGATATTTCCTTCTGGAACAAGATGAAAATCCCCAATAAAAGCCAGGAGTGACCCAAAGTATTCCTACTATGCTGTTTAGAGTGAGGTAGAACAAACAAAAAAACTTCATTCCTCCCCCCTCCAATTTTTCATTTTCTGATAAACTTTAAACACCTTTGCATTTTTAAGATCCAGGTGGCATTTTATTGGTAATTTAACTTAAGGGTTGATACTAAATTTTAAAAGTTCATTTTGTCTTAACTATCACTTGAGTTTCTTTTCATTAATCAAAAGAGCCTTAAGTTTGTTTAAAACACTGAGTTTCTTTCCAATACACCACACTGCTTGCCCTCCCTATCTGGTTCAGGGCATCTAAAAAACAAATACTACCACACATTTATGCATATTAAAATCATGAGGTCATATATGCAAATTAACACTATTAAACTATATGTTTTCAAATATCTAAATTAAGAATTTAGGTTCAATATTTTCCTCTAAGGTGAGAGGACTTTTCGGTTTTCATAAAATTGAGTAACAAATAATATTGTTACATATAGGTATCTAGTGGTTTATCTGGAATTAAGTACGTTTTTAATGAAATAAGCCTACACTGATGAGGTTGCTTGGTGGCAGTAAGAATGTGGAGGGAAAGAGAGAGAAATGTCGGTGCGAGTAATTGTCACCCTGAACACAGTGAGTTTGTTTTTTAAATTTTCAATCTTTTCCTATAGTTGCCAAGGCTTCCATTTCTGCTATGGATGTATATGTGCACAGGGTCTATGGTTTTGAAGCAGCAAAGAACGATGTGCTGCAGGTGACTCCACTTAAGGGTTTAGGAAAACCTTGGATGCATGCAGTTCTATGGTGCAGAGCCTCGGCCAACAGGAGCCCCAAAGGCAAGCTCTGCAGATGTCTTCTACCCTGGTGTGGACAGCAACGTTTCTGGCAGAGGCCTGTGGGTTGGACAGGACCCCTGGGAACAGAAGCATGGAGTGGGAAACATCCCAACTATAGTGGCACCAGCCTCGTCCTGGACAATGAAGGAGCAAACATCACAGACTTGTTTCTTCCACACAAAATCAGTTGGTGAGGTTTTTTTTTCACTTCCTTTCATTTTATGAAAACAGAAATTCAATGCAAAATGGCTTTCAAACAAAAATACACAGAAATCAGGAAATTCAATTTTTTAAATTCAGGGCAAACCATGTTTCATACATAACACATGCCAGAATTTCCTTGTGGCAAGCAAATTCACTGAAGACTGAGATCTGCAGTGTATCACAATACAATGTAAAACCTACAAGCATGGCTTCCCTTTCTTTTAGTCTTAATTGCAATACGATGGTAAATCTGGTTTCAGATCAGGGAAAGTGTGATCTACTTGTAATTATTATATAGTCCATGCCTGCCTAGATGTAATCCAGTCTATAAGATGATGTTTCTAAAATTAAGAGGAAATTTTTAAAAAATCGTTTGACAGTGTGACGTTTCCATCTTTTTTTGGCCATAGGCCTGGGATAAGCTTTTTCTACTATCCTGTGAGTTGTTCCCAATCCTCACTGGGGACAGGAAACTAGCAGAAGTTAGGTCAAAGATGCTAACAGAGACTTTCTGCTTGGGACCAACCTGAAGACCACATTTTCCACTTTGAAACTAACACCCACGCACTGTTGCTGCAGTGAGAGCAGTAACGCATTATGTAGACATCAAAAAATTCTGTGTAATATGGTGGGGAAGGTAAGATATACAGAAAAGATGGAGTTCCCCCCCCCATTATCCCAAGGGGTAAAAATGTCAATAACAATACATACAGTAAATAATAAAGAACCAGATTAACAGTTAACCTACTAAATGGTCCTGTTCTTAAGGTTAGAGAGCACCTCCTTTACCCTCCCCTTACTTCTCATTCTCAATTCTTGACTTGTAGAAAACAAATCTAAATAGGTCTGCATTTATTTTCTAGAGAGTTCAAAGGCTGAAGGCATTTTCAGATTCAGGTATCCTGCAATTAATGTTAGTCCTTCGTGGAACAGGGGGTTCTCCCCTAACCCTGGAAACAAAATAGAATCAGAGATTCCTGAGCAGGCAGTGGCAACCTCTGGACAGAATTCCTAGAGAAGCTTCCAAATTTCACCAAGAACTGAGTTTCTACAGAACTAAGAGTTTCTGAAACTGAAAAAGGGGAAGGGGGGCTCTTGGGCACTGAGTGTAGAGAACACACATGTAGGTGTGTGGGGGGAAAGGCGGGATAATGGTCAGGTCCTGATTTTATCTGCAGACTGTAACCTATACAGCTGGGATTAGATCACTAAGAACACTTCCTGGGGGGTTTCTGGCAGATCTTGGCTATGTCCAGGTGCCCTTTGTTTCGTTGTGGAATTTCATGTTAAAGGCCCTCTGCCCCACCCTCCGAAGTCACCCTTTTCTATGGGAGAAGAGAAATCTCCCACAGGGGAAATCAACTTTTAAAGTACGTGAACAGTCCTCATCTCCTCGTAGGTCTGAAGAGAACTCAGCAGGTTGGCATTTTCCTGCTTTCTAAATACATCACCCACCAACTTACCAAGGGTGTTGCAGTAAGGGCGGACAAGCAGTGTGTAAAATAAAAGGAAAGGAAATGCGACCTTAAAACAGAAGTAGAAAAATTAGTGTTATTCTAGTCTCTTCTTTCCCCGATCCTTCCCTCCCCTGCCTCTGAGATTAAGCCACCAGAGTCCTCTAGAACACTCTGAGTTTCTGCTCTTAAACGGCAGTTCCTTTTCCAAGGAGCAACAAAGTCTGTTTTCAGATGTGGGGCCTCAGATGCTCTGTTATTGCAGTTTAATTTTGTCGTTGTTTCTTTTCAAAGATTATTTGAAATGAATTGTTTCTTTTGTTTACTATCCAACAAACGACCTCTGCTAATCTTGTATTTTATCTCCCTAACATATGGAAAAGCTATTTATTCTAGCCAATCACAATAAAGTGAAGAAAACCCCATTTTATGGAAAAATATATATCACTAGTCTGTTGATCATTAAAGATATGATTACCAGTGAAAACCCTCTGAAGGTGGCACATTTATGCTTCCAGGAACAGATGGGGACACGCATTTTCCTTGCAAATACTTTTGAAATTGCTCTACTGGTAGCAGTATAAAAATGATATACAGATGCCAGGGCCAGCATGGCCAGGATGAGTGCGCCAGATTTACACAGTAAAGCCTTCACACGCGGGCTGTCAGTTTTGATTGATCTCTACTATACCTCAGGAACTTGTTGACTAGGTAGGGAAACAGTGCAAATAATTCACTGCAGCTAGTCAGATAATTCACACAACCAATCGGTCTGCTTCACTTTCTGGCTGTGACTTATGAGCCTTCCCTACAAAGATGCATCGTTTTCCAGCTTGAGCAATATTCAATGTCAGGGAAGAGAAGGTATTAAAGCCACACAAAAGGAGGCGGACTATCGCAGGACCAGAAGTTGTTTTGGTAATGGAGGCCAGATCCTGCTCTACTCTAAGTCCTACCAGAGCGTTCAGGCTCAATTGTCATTATCATATTGATTAAAAAAAAAGTTCATCATAGTGCAATTTTAGGTTTAACGCCAACGGATTGGGAAAGAGCAAAGAATTATCCCACAAAAGCACAACATTCTTACCGCAGGGACGTTTCCCTGTTCCAGTTCATTGATGGAGTTGATTAAGTTTAAATGAAGCAGACACTGGATAAAAGTAAGGGTATTGACCACTGGGCACCGCGATCCGTGCTTGAAAGGACCTGATACATGCAGAAAAGCAAGATTTGCTAAATGCTCTAATCTTCAATCAAATCTTACATCAATACAGACAAAGTTTGGTAATGAGAGATTCAATGAAGCATGCGGGAGAAAGAATTAATCCTCTTGGTCTAAACTGGCTTCAACTTTGAAGCTTGCTCCGAAGGAAAGACAGTTATCTAAATGCTAAATAAGAAACTTATTGTACTTTTCATGGCATGCTAATCTTTTGTCTATTTCATCTCTATTATGTGTATGCTCCTCGATTGCAGTTGTCATGGTGATTATATCAAGCCATGCTCGGGGAATGGTGGTGAGAAACCAGGCGCAGAGGTGGAAAAGACCCCCACGCAATCCACAGTACGGGGGGAAAAAAATAGAGGGGCAAAAAGAAGTAGGTGGGCACCAGATGTCTCCCGGGCTCCTTCCCGCCAGGCTCTGGCCCGGCTCGGGTCAGGGCCAAGGAGGCTTGGGCTTTCCTGCGCCTTAACGGGCGTGGTCCCCCCAGCCAAGCGAGCATGTAGTGGGGAGGGGGTCAGGCATCTTTCATACCTCACAAAGGTTCCTAGCTTTTAGTCCGGAGGCTCCTCCCCCTCCTCACTGCGTTCCCTTCCCCCAAGTGCAGCAACCAGCTGGGTGGAAAGGACTCCTGCAAAGGGAAGGGGGAGAGAGGCAAGGGCTCAGGCACAGGTGGCCCCACCCTGCATGGCTGTGCCCCGCGGCGGGAAGTTGAGTGTAAGACCTTGACTGCCGGAGAGGAACGCAACCGAAAGGAGCGGCCCACCTAGCCCAGGCGGGAGGTGGAAACTATAGGGTCATCGGGGGGCCTTGGCGACCAAAGGTGACTCTGGGCCCTTTATATGTTTTACAAAAGTTGCCAAATTAAGACGGGATTATAACTGCTCGAGTCCTTGTCAGGGCTGAAAGGTTGGGAGCCTCAAATATACCCCGGCAGTGTTGATGAAAAGCTTAAAAAGTAATAAAAGGGAGAAAAGAGCAGGGAAAGTAACATGTATAACTCTTATTAAAGAAAAGAGCCACGGAGAGGTTGTGAACTTGAATCACTGTTTGAACTTTAATTTGTTCATTAACAGGATTTGCCCCTCACTGGGAATGTTATTACTTCCCTTTGCTGATCAGCAACAACTCTGGACATAATGAAAGAGTCTGGCAAAAAGTTAAATGCCTAGTAATTAATTCATTTAATTGAAAAACGGGTAAGAGAGTGAGGTCCCACCACAGGAGCAGAAGGCAGAGGGGTTGGAGGAGGGGACAGGCTGAAATCTGCACTGAGGCCCTCTCCAAGGCCCAGTGCCCTGCCGGCCACCCATGGGGGAGGGGAGATTTGGTCTCTGATGAGGCTTCTTCAGCAAAATCAATGTCAGCAGCATCCTGAAGACCCTCTGACCAATGCCACCTGCCACTGGTCCAAACCCTCTGGCCAGAGTTTCAGCCTGGAGGTACTCTGGAAGATCTGTTAGGGTGGCATGGATAAGAGAAATCCTAAAATAATATATATTCAGAAAATCTTTCATTAAAAAGTGGGTAAACGTCTTTTGCTTTCTCCCCTCCTACCCTTGTGACAGGTTTCTTTTGCAATCTTCTGTTTCCAGGCCGGAGTGAAGAGGAGTGTCAGAGGCTGGATATAATTTGCATGTTTGCATCTTAATCAGCCTTATAACACCATGCTTTCTCCCCCAAACCCACCCCAGCAGATGATTTAAATCAACTCAGGAGAGGAGAAATCAAATACACTCCTTGCCCCTGCTCAGAAGTGACAGCACTAACTCAGCTGGCTCTGCCTCTAACTGCACAGGGCCTGCCTTCTCCTTTGTCACTTATCTCCTTTCTGTGTTTGTCAACCACTGTGCACAATGCCCTTGCATGTGCATCCTCCTTCCAAGGGAAGCGATGCTTGGCCACCGTTAACTATCGTAACACCCAAGAGCTATTAGCACCAGGTTGCCCTTGCAGCTAAATGAGAGAACGACAAAATACAGGGAACCAGTGGTGGAGCAGTTATCCTATCCTACTTAATATGGTTAAGGCCCACCACTGAACAGTAACAGGCAGTTTTGGTTTCCTGACATTTTTAAAACTGGTGTCCATATTGTCAGTGTGACTTTCTTTAGAGACACCGTTATCTACCATGTAATCGCCCATGACAAAACAACTATAGAGAGAAAAGGGAGGTGAGGAGAGAATGAAAGACAATATAAAAGAATTTCCTAGTATCCAAAACTACTTCCTAGGTTTGTGTTTTTAATTAAATCACTTCTAAACCCCAGGGAGAAGACAGAATTTTCTCATCCAAATCACACTGTCACCAAATAAAGTCATCAAAATTACCCTTTTGCTGGCAGCATCTTCCCCATGTTAACCCAATGCCACTTGGTACTACAATCCTAACCTCACACTCCATGTAGCTATAAATGCTCTGTATTGTGCCTTCCTGAAAACCAGTGATAGGCACACACTCACTCAATCTGCATTAACAGGAAGGCGAAAGGAGCTTTTAAAAGGGGCTGTTTTATAAGCTGGAGCAAGTTCTACAGTTTATTTAGCATTAAAGTTACTTCCCACATTTTATAGCCCCTGGATACTGAGTGAGTTCTATTTTCCAAAGTTGTGGATCTGTAGTATAGTTGTTTTATTCTGGACAACTGACACTAAATATTAGGAGTCCACAAACAAATTAAATCAAAACAAAACAAAGATTCCCTCACTGCACACTGCTGAGCCCTAAGCTCCTTTTATAAAAGGAACTTTTAAAAGACCACATCAGTCAAGTCTGATAACCCTGCCACTATCCTAATCTGGACCCTTATCGCCTTACATGTGCTAAAGTAAATTTCTTCCTACCTCCAAAACAGCCTTCAGAGCGCCTTGACATTAACTATCCTAAACCCCCACTTTACTGGAAAACCTTGATAGCTCTGATAGCCTGTAACAGGCCCAGTTCCTTAAATTACCTTTAAGCCTCCTCTCTACCCTCCCCACAGGCACTAACTGGCCATTTCTGGTTTGTTTTCCCCTATCAACCTACACAAGACAAGACAGCTCTCCAAAGAGACAGCTTTCCCACACTGTACACTGAAAACACCACATGAATTACTTTCATTTTATTGAACACTTGTGAGGTGCCAGGCACCATGTTAGGCATTACAAATATTATCTCATTTAATTCCTTCAATTTTGTGAGAGATGATTATACCCATTTTAAGACCATAGAAACTGAGACTAAAGAAGTCAAGGTGCTTGTCCAACTAAGATCTCACAGCAGAGAGAGGATTCTTAGGCTTATCTATCTGGCTCAAATGTTGGTTTACTTTCCACTCTGGCATGCTCCCACCCCTGCTGTGCTGTGTGTTCTGATCACTACTTCTCCTTGTCATCTGGGACGCCTTCTCAACGCCACTGTACATATCTGAATCCCACCCAGCTTGCAATCCTAGAGAGAAATTCCCACCTCTATCTTGAAACCTTTCACCATCATTCTAGTCCCTGCAAATTGCTTCACTATCTGCAGCATGTACTTGGCACTCCCATTCTCTGCCCTGTACTATCAGGTCAGTTTTCTTTAATTCAGTCTCTTCCAGCTACACTGTAAGTTCCTTGAAAACGGGAATTTGTCTTATATGTCTTTATTTTCCTCCCTCACTCTCCAGAGCTAATATATCTCCCATTTGTCAAGCACACACCTCATACACAGCAATCCTTAATAGGAGATACTGTTATTGTCATTTTGCAGACAAAGAAACTGAGGCTCAGAGAGATAAAGAAACTTGCCCAAGTAAGTAGCAGATATGATATTCAAACACAGGTTGTCTGAATCAAATGCCCCTTTTCCTTAGCCAATACACTGTACTGACTCAAATACATTGTGCTTCACACAATGTGAATTTATGAAGTGTTATAGTATGGCAGATACTCAACAAACCTCCAGAAGACATGTCTTCTAACCATGTCCTTTTGAACAAAGGATACTGTTTTTACTGTTTAGTAGAGCAGATTCTGAAACTCAGCAGAAGAAAGGATGAGTGTATACCACTCCATGATATCCCAGGCCACCCCTTCCCTCATCCCCTCCTCTTTAGGAGCCACGCCTCATGTTGGTGGGAGCCAATGATGCTGTCTGTATCTGCACTGATGTACCTGTGAGATAGAGAGGCAAACTGCCCTTTCCACAGCAGCTTCTGTACCTTTTACATACACAGAGGAAAGCAGGAGAAAATGAAAGACACAAGTGTTAATTTTTTTAAATAGCCCACAAAGGCATTTGGGGGACGTCTTGCTGTCTCTGCAGCAAAAACGGGTTGCTGCTGTGGGAAGAATAACAATTGCAAAAAATGTTCACAGCTGACCAATTAAACCAATATGTGGAACTGTAGCCAGCTTCTTGTTCTCATCTAAAACACAAAGGTGGCGATGGGATTAACGAATCACTAAGAAAAGAAGAATGTCTGAGGGTGTAAGAATCAAGTCCTGGAAGTCTGACTAGTTTTCCCCACATGGAGACTGTCCCTTCAGCACCAGTGCTGAAGATCTGGACTCCAAAGCATTTAGCGAGCTAGCAGGTTTCTTTACATCCAACAAGTCCTTACAGATTGCTAAAAAAAAATCTCTTGCAGTGGCAACAGGGTACTTATGAATTTGAGAAAAAAGAAATAA